TTCCGATTGTCATTACCTCCTCCATGATATCAGGAGAAATTAAATCATTTCTGTATCATTGATAATGAATTTTCGGTGTATCCGCCGAGCCGTCTCAGAGGTGCTTGTGTGAAACCACAGCCCTGTGCTCGGTAAAATGAAGGCTTTTCTGTTTTTTTGGTGTTTTTTTTTTTTTTTTCTCTGTAGCCTGATGCTCCTGAGCTTTGCTTGCGAGCAATAAGCAGGAAGCAGTGACCGTAATCTAATACGAAAATGGCTCTCTTCCAGGTCAGAGCGGAGCAGGAAACAACTGGGCAAAGGGCCATTATACAGAAGGTGCTGAATTAGTTGATTCTGTGTTAGATGTTGTAAGAAAGGAGGCAGAAAGCTGTGATTGTCTCCAGGGCTTTCAGCTTACTCACTCTCTCGGTGGTGGTACAGGCTCTGGCATGGGTACCCTCCTCATCAGCAAAATCCGTGAAGAGTACCCAGACCGCATTATGAATACTTTCAGTGTTGTACCCTCCCCTAAAGTATCAGATACTGTAGTAGAGCCCTACAATGCCACGCTCTCGGTGCACCAGCTCGTGGAGAACACAGATGAAACATACTGTATTGATAACGAAGCACTCTACGACATATGCTTCAGAACACTGAAGTTAACTACTCCAACGTACGGTGATCTGAACCATTTAGTGTCGGCGACCATGAGCGGTGTTACCACCTGCCTGCGGTTCCCAGGCCAGCTTAATGCTGACCTGCGGAAGCTGGCAGTCAACATGGTTCCCTTCCCTCGTTTGCACTTTTTCATGCCTGGTTTTGCCCCGCTCACAAGCCGTGGGAGCCAGCAGTATCGTGCTTTAACTGTGCCAGAGCTAACACAGCAGATGTTTGATGCAAAGAATATGATGGCTGCGTGTGACCCGCGTCACGGCCGCTATCTGACTGTAGCTGCTGTCTTTAGAGGCCGTATGTCGATGAAAGAGGTTGATGAGCAAATGCTGAACGTTCAGAACAAAAACAGCAGCTATTTTGTTGAATGGATCCCTAATAACGTTAAAACAGCTGTCTGTGACATTCCACCTCGTGGCCTGAAAATGTCTGCCACCTTCATTGGTAACAGCACAGCCATCCAGGAGCTGTTCAAACGCATTTCTGAGCAGTTCACTGCCATGTTCCGCCGAAAGGCTTTCCTGCACTGGTACACTGGCGAGGGCATGGACGAGATGGAGTTCACAGAGGCTGAGAGCAACATGAACGACCTGGTGTCTGAGTATCAGCAGTACCAGGATGCTACAGCTGAGGAGGAGGGGGAGTTTGAGGAGGAGGCTGAGGAAGAGGCAGAGTAAAAGCTATGCAGAAGAACACCTGTAAATTTTGTTTAAAGCTGTATGAACTCTTTCATTCAAAACTTCTCTGTCTGTGTTGTGTTCCTCTTCCTGTTTCAAAGTCACTCCAAATGCTGTACAGGCACCATTAAAGCATTTTTCACAGTGCAAGAGCTCGTCTCCTTTGTTCCTTTTGGTAAGCTTTTCGGGTGCTGTTTCCAAAAGTAAGCGCGTAGGTGTGTCGGACATCTGGAAAAGAAATAATGGACTTGGTGTGAGCCCTGCCATCTCCCCCAAGGCAACCATGCTTCTCTCCCTGGCTTCTAACGAGGTGGGCAACTTGCTTGTGTCACTAGATGCTGTGGCAGCCCTTCTTGCTCCTGGTGGTGTGGGCAGTGAAGAAATAGTCTGGTATGGCTTTATAATCAAGGGCACCGGTGGAGGGGGATACACTTCGCATGGAGATGGAATTTAGTTCTAAGCTGTGTCTAAATTTAGGTACCTGCGTGTGGCCTCCTGTTCCAGGCTTCACAGCAGGAGCTGAGCAGCTCTCCTGGCCCCAGTGGAAGCGTAGGTTGGAATGTAGGTGTCTGTAAGCTGTAGCTTACCCTGAGCTGCCCAGGCAACAAAATGGTGCTGGCAAGTTGCCTCTCTCATACAGGTGGGTGTTCTGGCAGATGAGCCGGGCTGATCCACTGCAGCTACTCAGGGTTGTAAACCCAGCAGGTAGCTGTGGCCTGTCCCAGGAGCCTTGGGGACAGCTGTGACCAGCTGTGCTGTGCCTCCTGCTGAGGACAAGTGACACTGAAGAGCTCCTGTGTATGCAGCTTTGCTGCAGTCACTGTCTTTTTTTAAATCAGTATGTAGAGATTTTAGAACTAAATCCATCAGGTGTTCCTGCAGCCTCTGCTTTTGAAGTGAGCTGAACATCTGATACCAAATTACACTGTTTTATCATTAAAACCCTGTATTAGCAAATATTGGCTAAATATTTACTGCGGAAACAGCATGTTCAGTGTTACCTAAAGTGACAAACCTGTTACACTGAATAGCTGGACAGGAGATAGGGAGGTAGCAGGCTGCTTTC